GCCCTCCCGCTGCTTAGCTCTCATACCTCCTAGGTCAAGTTATAAGGTGGCACAAGGTGACCTCACAAGAAATGTGGTTTCTCAGGGCTTGCGGCTTTTCTCTGAATGTTTCTCATTTTTCTCTGGTGACCTCTGCAGCTTTCCCACCTCATGTTCCACCACCTGGCTGCCTGGTTAGGCTCTTCCCACTGCAGAGGGCTAGGCGGCCCCAGGGAAGGGGGAGAAGAGAGATGGACTGCCTGGAGCTTGCAGAGGGTTTGGAAAGTTGCTAACTAAATGCCTGTCTTCACGCAGCACACCGTTCCGGAAGGCGAAAGCCTTGTACGCCTGCCAGGCTGAGCACGACTCGGAGCTCTCGTTCACCGCAGGCACCGTCTTTGATAACGGTGAGTTTTCTCCAAGTCCCCTCACGAGGATGGGGGCTGGGGAGCAAATAAAAAACTAGAGTTTTCAAAGCCCCTACCTAAGGAAAATCTCAGGTGAATGGGTAAGACTGCCAACGAGTGTGTGTTTGTGTATTTTCCCAAAATGAGAGAGCAGCAGCAGGATGCGCTGTCAAGCGTGTGGTCAGCTGACAGAGGCAGTCTCCTCGCAGGGTCACAGACATAAACGTGACTGTGCCTCATAGGACTCAGTCCAGCCCCTGGCGGTGGCCTTGAGAGTTCGGGGCCGGACAGAGGGTAGGCGTCAAAGGAGTGGAGAACAGGGATCCTGCAAGTGGTCGGAAGCTCAGGATGGCAATGGAGGCTGCAGGTTCTATGCCCCTTTTCTCTTGGATTTGACGGCATCGCTGTCCACAGCAGGCGAGGCTGGTTTCTGAGACGGCAGGGCACTGGGCGAGTTCCAAGCAGTAAGCCTCGCTGTGTCCCTGCCCTCCCCCCCTAGAGCCACACCACCCAGTACCCGCCAGCTGCCCTGCAGGGTGTCCTGATGTGCAAATGGATTGGTGACACCTGCCCTGTAGAATTTGGAACTAGCGCCTGCTCGATGCATTCTCTTCTTTCTTTCTTTTGTTTGTTTTCCTCTCTAGAAAAATAATATTTTTAAAAGGCAGAATTGATGTCATATTTTGTCATAACTTATCATTTGCCTGAGATTAAAATTAGGATCCTGAGAATAAAGCCTAAGTTGCTGTTACAGCTGAGATTTTACCCCAGATAAAGTTCTCCTTTGGGGTTAATCTTCCTAGATCCCTGGGTGAAAGGGTATGTTTTGCTCAATGAGGAAGCAAAAGCAGCTGCCTGGTTTCAGGAATTGGACATTTTCCAGGGCTCCCTTCTTGACCTCAGGTGGGGTGAGGGCACAGTTCCTAGTCAGGGATGAGTGCATTTTGCCCAAGCACTCCCCATCGTGGCCAGCCAGCCCACCCTGGCCTATACCACACCTCCTATTGCCTGTCTGAGATCCAGAAATCCAGGGCAGCCAGCGCTCCCACATAGTGCTGGAGAAAATGACACTAGATTCAGGCTACTAAAGCTCACGTCCTGGCTTGATCACTTGCTCCTGTGTGACCTCAAGCACGTAACAGAGGGTTGTGAGAGAAAATCAAGATAGTGTGCATCGTGTATTTAAAATAGTTCTCAACACATACTAAGCGTTCAGTATGTTATTGTTGTGGTTGTCATCATCGTCGTTACATCAGTCTTGGACAAAGACCCTGATTCTGTCATAGTTCTTAGTGACGGTCTTTGCTTTCATCTGACAGGACCCAGGCCTGGCTCTCGGCTGTGCAGGAGGTAATGCACCTTGATTCCCTGGGCCCTGGCTCCATATAAGGGCCTCGAGGTCCAAGTCCAATCAGAGCTGGGCTCCTGGGGCCCAGTCTTGAGTGCATCTGCCTGCCAAGGGGCTGCCCCAGTGTACATGGCCCCCTGTGTTCATCATTTCAGAGATACTGAGCAGGCACAGGTAGAAAGAATGGGGCACTGGTCACAGAGCACCTGGGGGTGAGGGTGACGTGGCCTGCTGGGCCTGCATCCTCTTTGATTGTCCTCAGAGCCCCCAAAGCACTGTCCTTAAACTTTTGCTCCATTTTCGCTTGGCCCCTTTGCAAATCAAAGTGCACAGACAGACAGCCCAGCCTCTTCTCCTGGGAGCAGCTGGAGCACTCAGGCCCCAGCAACCCTGCAGGGGAGTGGATCCACCGAAGGCTGTCCAGAGCCATGTCATTGTTGAGTGTCCCCCAAATGGGCCCATGTGGCAGAGTCACAGCCGGACCATCACGTGACACAGTTTCCACGGCAGACAAACCAGGGTGGGCTGCATGTAAGAACTGGTGTCCTGCCCTGTCAGCAGGGGAGAGGCTTCTGCCCATAGATGAGCAGGACTTGAGATGAGCGGCCCCACCTTTACTGGTGAATCCAGTTTCAAGATCTGTCCTCTAAACCCCAACTCACGGTTCCCCTCTGCAAGGGGCTGCTGTGGTCCTACCAGCTACTCACTCTGACAACACAAAGGACCCCTGATCGCAGGGGCAGAATCGGTTTAAGCTCCCGGAAGGTATGTGAATGCGTGTGTGTAGTGTGTGTGTGTGTGGTGTTTGTGGCTCCTTTTCTTCATTTTTAAACCGCTATATTGAGATACCCACATACCATAAAATTTACCCATTTAAAACATACAACTCAGTGGTTTTTAGTATATTCAGTTGTGCAGCCATCACCACTTCCTAACTCCACAATATATTCATTACCCCCAAAAGAAACCCTGTACAGTTTATCAGCCGTGCCCCATTTACTCATAACCTTACCCCACCTGGCCTCAGTAACCACCGTTCTTTCTGTCACTTTTCATTTGCCTGCTTGAATAATTCATGTAAATGGAATTACACATATGTAGTCTTTGTAGCCGGCTTCTTTCACTTAGCAGCGTATTTTCAAGGTTCATCCATGTCGTATCAGGTGTCGGAACTCCATTCCTTTTTATTGCTGAATAATAGTCCTTTGTATAAATATATCACATTTGATTAATCCCTTCATCAGTTGATGGGTATCTTTATTATTTCCACTTTTTGGCTGCTATAAACATTTGTGTACAAGTTTTTGTGAGGACATATATTTCCCACTTTGCTGATACACCTGGGAGTGGGATTGCTGGGTCCTACGGTAACTCTGTGTTTCACTATTTAAGGAACCGGCCAAACTGTTTCACAAAGGGGTTGCAGCATTTTACATTGCTACCTTTTGTTTTTAAGCCTTCCGTTGGAAGTAGTGTAAGTAGCCGACCACAGAAAAGAAAAGCAAAGATACTTAGGTAGTTTTAACTGCCAAGTCCTTTCCTCAGCCTAGCAGGTTCCAGGACTTCTCCCACCCCACAACTCATAATCAGCGTAAATCCTGCCCTGACAAACGAGCGCCGGAGAGAGGTTTGGTTTACCGACTCAGAGGCGTTGCCCAAGCCTTCCTGTGGCTTCAGGGAGTCATGGCAGAGGTCACTGACACCAGTTTGTTTTTAATCAGCAATGCCAGTGACCTTTTGAATTCCCTGAAGAGCGAAAGGCCAAATTAAGTCCAGAAGAAAACACCTTTCAGTGTTGACCGAGCTGCAGTCGAAGAAGATCTGACACAATGTCAATCCACTATTTAGACTGATTTGGCTGATAACACTGTATTGTGTTCGATTTTTAGAAAATGCTACATGTCCTCCATGTTCCCCTTCCCGCCACCTCTGTTGGAGAAATCAGGCATTAGAGGCAGAAACAACTATTTACCTGTTAGGCAGGGAGAGCTCTTTCTTTGTTCTATCTCATTTTAGTTTATTATTGGAGATACTAGGCAAGGGCTGTTTAAGTTGAATGCTCTGTAGCTGTCAGGTGAAATTATTAGAGCAGTTCGAAGGAAGTTTCCTAATGACAGGGTTAGAGAGAGAGAGAGCGTGCGCGAGCGTGTGTGTGTGTGTGTGTGTGTGTGTGCGCGTGCTTTCAGGACCAAGAGGACTAAATCCAGAGGAAGAGGGGAAAGTCTGGGGTTTCGTAATGATTAATCCCCAAGCCCTGGCTCCCAGGGCCCGTGCTGGGCAGCTGGGGCACTGCCTGGTCAGCTCTCGGACTTTGTGCAGGGGGAATGGATGCGCAATACTCGGAAATGGCTCCAGGGGCAGCCCTTGCCAGCCTACCAGGAAACTGCCAGCTTCACCAAGAGCAGGCACCTCAGACAGTAACTGGAAAGAGAAACAACTTGTGTTCTCGGTAACATTAGTCATCTCGAAGCTACGTGATTAGTGATCCCTGGAAAATTCACATGGTGTTCACCAAAGTAGAGTTCTTAGGATTCCTTCATCAAGGTTTGAGATGGACTGGCTCCATCATTCTCGGGGCCCGGGGTGCAGTGTGAGTACAAGGCAGGGCTGCCCAGGGTCTCCTTTACTGACAGAGAATGTCCTCACCGGGGCTCAGGCAGTGGGGTGACAGGTTTCTCTGTGGAGCCCTCAGCCTCCCCAGCCCTCCCTGCTACCAAACCCACGCCCAAGCTGCCTCCATCCCTCACCCGGTGTTTCCACCAGCCGCCCAACTGGCCTTGTCACGTCCACTCTTGGCCTCATAACCATTCTCTACACAGCAGCCAGGGTGACCTTTGAAAAATGGGAATCACAGCATATTATTTTCCTGCTTAAAATACTCCAGTGGCCTCCCGTTGCTCTTAGAATTATTGGCGAGGACCTCCCCGGCCCAGCCTCCGCCCTGCCAGCCCCCGCAAACGCTCCCTCCATACACTGCAGCCTCGCACACCTTCTCCATGTTCTCAGACGGGGTTGGCAGCCGTGACCTGCCAGTCAAGCCTAGCCCCCTGCCCATCTTTGTAAATAAAGCTTTACCAGAACACAGCCACCCACACCTCTTTGTTTACATATTATCTATGGCCAGACAGTGGCAGAGTTGAGGAGAGACGCACAGTTACTATCGGGCTCTTTAAGAAAAATTGCCAGTGACTGTTCTAAAATCACACCGAGCCTGTCCCTGTCCTCAAGCCTTTGCACTTGCATCAGCCCTGCCCAGTGGCTCCTCTGGATCATTTAGGTGTTAGCTTGTTGAGCTCTTCCCCACCCACCCACATCCCTCTCCCAGTCTCTTTCTCTCCCCTCATCCCTACCTAAAATTATATGCTTCTGTATTATAGATGGTCCCTTCCTGAGAGCAGGAGCTTGTCTGCTTGCTCTGTCCTATGTCTGGGGACTTAGCACAGTGTCAGGCATGTGGGAGGCGCTTAATAAACACATGTTAAATGAGTAAATGCATTCGGACTGCACAGGGTTCTGTGCCTCTTGCAGCCAGTGCTGCCTCCCTGGGGGCTGCTGGCCTTTGCAGATCCTATTTGCACACTTGGTGCTTGTCTACAGTGAGCGAAGGAGGGGAGAGAACATGAGCTGCGTGTACAGGGGCGTGTGGCGTATATACGGATAGAGCTGCGAGAAAGTGGTTGGCAGGAAGCACGCCCATGTCAGCAGCGGCTTATATTTATTATATGCTGGCTGTGCTGGAGAGCTGCCCGGGCAGCTCTCTGCAGCATCTTGTGTGTTTATATAGCACATTGGACACTGGTGCAATTCAGAAGGTTGGACATGGGCACAGTTCAGCCCAACAAGTACTTGGGAGCATCTCTGAGGTTCAGAGCAGTGGGCGGGGTCAAAGTGGTCGTGGTTAAGACCGAAGACTCTGGGGTCAAATATCCTGGGTTCAGATAAACCTCCATCATCTACCAGCTGTGTAATTTTGGGCAAGATGCTTAACCTCTCTGAGCCTCAGTTTCTTATCAAGAAGATGAAGAGAATAACAGAACCATCTCCATAGTTATTCTGAAAAAAAAAGTAGGTGACGCAGGCCAAGCACTTAGCAATAGACCCTCCACTTAGCGTGTGCTCAGCGTATGTAACATCAATCTCACCCTCAGGGATCACATTCTCTGGCTGAACAGAGGTATAATGTAGTGGGAAAGGGCTTGGTCTCTGGAGTCAAACAAGCTGGGTTCAAATTCTGGTTCTACCAGTGTGGCCCTGCACAAATTAATTTACCTCTCTGAGCCTTCATTTTCTCATCCGTTAAATGGGGATATTAATAGTATAAACTAAGCCCTGCCGGGTGTGGCTCAGCGGTTGAGCGTCGACCTAGGATCCAGGCAATCGGGGTTCGATTCCCGGTCAGGGCACATGCCCGGGTTGCGGGCTCAATCAATGACTCTCTCATCATTGATGTTTCTGTCTCTCTCCCTCTCCTTTCCTCTCTCTGAAATCAATAAAGATATATTTTAAAAAAAAATAGTATGAACTAGGATCTTGAGGGTCAAATGAATCAATATGTATCTAAAGCTTTGAACCCATGGCTGTTTCCCAGTCACCATTTCTAGGTGTTAGCTTGTGTCATTTTAATTCACCAGGTAGAGAGGAGGAATGACGCATGTTGAATGATATAATACTAGTTAGTGAAGCAAAGCTGAACACATTTGAGCAGCATTAATAGGACGAATGTGGAATGTTCTCTGAGCATTCCAGGAGGCTGAGAAAGGAGGGAGCAGGGGGATGGGACTCTGTGACCATATTGGAGGAGGTAGGGCTTCAACTAAGCCTTGAAGTATGAGGAAAGGAAGCAAAGAAAAACTGGGAGAAAGCTGGAGGTTCTGTGGGGATCTGGTGCTGCCTCCTTCCTCTCATCGGTTAATGAGAATTTGCATTTCAATTCTTATGACCACCCTCATTACAGAGGCATTTTGGCACAGAAAAGTTTTAACCTTTAACTTCCTGTGAATGAGTTAAAATGCAGGTCTCTGGGCCCCACTCCTTGAGATTCTGATTGAACTGATGTTCCACGGGGCCTAAGAATCTGCCGTTTTAATGAGCATCAGTGGGCACCACACTTTAATAAAGCCTGATTTGAAGGCTCCAGTGAGTCAGGAATCTGACCTAAAGGCTGTATTGTCCCCTGCAGCCCCCCTGTGACACATCTGTTGTTCTTCAATTTAGGGGACCTCCTTTGTCCCCTCCAATTCTTCTCTTACTTTGCGAATTCCATTTCCACTGTTTGCAGAAATTGGCACCTCAGCACCTGAGCTGTGTTTGAACAGCTGGCAGAAAGGGAAAAATCTCTGGAAGACACGGACTTAGCGCGTCCAGTGGAGTGTCAACTCAACTAGGAGCTCTGCTGCAAGGGCGGCGGGGGGGGGGGCTGTCTCTCTCTGTTTTTTCTTCTGTTTTCTTCTGTTTCCCTCCTGGGTCTTTTATTTTAGGGAGTGAGTTTGGTTTGTTTGTTTTGGGTTCTAAGCGTTTGAGGTTTCCCAAACCTTAGGGTATTGATACCAGGCCCTTACCCAGGTTTTACCAGGAGAGATTCTTGCGGACCAAGTGACTGGTCAAATGACACAGGGCCACCTGCCAAATGACTGGTACTGAGCATTCACTGTGTCCTGACTCTGTTGAGTGCTCTTTGCGTGTCAGCTCTCCTTGAACCTTCACAAGAACCCACGGAGGGAGGAGAGTTTTATGATCATCACTTAATAGGTGCAGAAACCAAAATGGTCTTGGCAGTGTCATCAGGATGGATGGGTAGAAGGCAGGGGTCCTGGGGTGCTGGTGTTTTAGGGGCAGGACGGGAGAACTGGTCATTGGAGAAGCCAGGTTGCTTTTCAGTTGCACTGTGTTCTTCCCAGGCACTTCTCTCTCCTCATGTGGGGGTCCTGAATCCTCCAAGTACCCTTGCTATTTTTGATTTGTTCCTGAAGCCTAGTGATAGGAAATTACGTACACATTTTGGAGGCCACCTAACAGATGTCTGACCTTGTCTTTTCCTACAGGAACATTCACGACCTAGACAAGGTTGCCTGTGATCTTCTGTAAGCCTCAGTGTGTGTCCTGCTTCCCCATTGGCTCCCCTTCTTGCTGCTTTCCATACAAACTGAAACTAGATTTGTATAGTAGTGTTGGCAGAAATGCTTTTCTAAAACAAGCTCAGGAAGTCGCTTAATTAGCCTAGGAAGGGAATAGGGGAAAATTCATTCTCTCCAAACAATCTCGGAAAATTGGAGTTTTCCTAATCCATTAATAGCAAGTGCCCTGCCTTGCCCGGGCAATTTGTATACTCCCAGTTCGCAAGCACGAGCAGCCCCCATCTCCAAGTCCCATAATTCTTTCTTTCTTCCTTCCTATTTTGACTACTTTGCAGACTCAGCTGGATCTTATATAATCTTTGCAATATTATAGTGGTTTCCATGGAGATGGATTAAGGTGTCACAGAGGTGGGTATATATTCTTTAGATATTGAAAAACCAAAGGGGCAGAAATTTTGAAAGTTGCTATAGAGGAAAAGGAAGCTTTCAGACTTGTATACAGGAGGGACAAAAATTCTAGAGAACAGGAAAGAAAGCTCAGGGTATGGGTAGAACAGAGAAGGGGCTATTCTAAGACTGTAAAATGCAAAAGCAAAAACAAAAGCAAACAAAAAGCCCACAGAGGGAATTGGCAAGGAAATTAGAAGTAGAGGGTAAAGGTTTAAAGGCAAGTAAAATGCATGATTGGGAGCTAGTTTTCTTTAAAGTCTAGTTCTTAGCAGTCTTTTATGGGCACTCCTTGGTACAGAGTGAAAACTGGGTAGGTAGATGGGTACATGGACAGACAGATGGGTGGATGGATGGATGGATGGATGGATGGATGGATGGACAGATGGATACTTAGATAAATATACAGATGGAGTACCATAACTGTGACTTCTAACCTAAAATCCGTCCCTTCTTTAGAGTTTAAACCAGGACCTTCAAAAAGTCTATGAAACCCTTAAAATTGCATGTAGAATTTTAAAAATCTGTCTGTTTCCATTTTTGTTGTGAAGAGAGTTCAGAATAGCCTTCATCAGAAGGCTTGTGTCCCACAAAAGGTTCCGAAGCTCTGGCTTAAACAGACCCCAGGATTATGTAACTTACTGAGCAGTTGCACTCTCCCCAAACGCCCCTCACACGTCCGCATCTGCACACCCGGCGCACAGCCACCTCCTGCCCTATCTGTAACGTCATCTCTCCGCTCTCTCCCCTTCCTGTTGCAGTTCACCCGTCTCAGGAGCCTGGCTGGTTGGAGGGGACTCTGAACGGAAAGACTGGCCTCATCCCTGAGAACTACGTGGAGTTCCTCTAACCATGGGCCCCAGCAGAACTGCTGAGCTTTCCATGGTTTCCATGACAACTGCTGAGTCCTGTGTTGTAGGTCGTTTCTCCTTGCCGCCGAGAAGTGCAGGGTGGCTGACTCTGCTGCTACCTGTCAACACGAGTGTTTCTGTGAACTTTGGTGTCACCCATCCCCACAATCATCTCAGCCGACATGTGGTGACATTGCCAGAAACAAGTAAATCAGCAGGGGAGGCCATTTGATTTTGGTAACAGGGAGAAAGGCTGCCAAAGCCATTTCTCTCATTCAGCACCCTGAATGGGGAGCACTTATTTTGTTTCAACAGTCACCCAAATTCCCAGCCTTCTGAAAGTGGAAATAAGATCTAAGTAGTCCTCAAGCGCATGCAGGCCAGGTGCTGGCTCCGAGATCCAGGATGGGTCCATTGCTTTTGTTTACAGGAGACACTCTCACCCACCTCTACATACTTGAGACGCGCAGTGCTACAGGCAGCTGGGTCTGTTTGTTTGCATGCAGCATGGAGAGGGCTTACAGCACTGTTTACATAAGATCCAATCTCTCACCATCTCTAAAACAGCCTTGGCTCAGCATTAGCAGAATTCAGTCCAGTCCTCTCATGCAAGGGAACACACACACCCCACTTTCCCCTCCTCCCAAGCTAGGAACTTCTCTGCCACCGACGGCTGCCGCCACCTCGTAACCACGGCAACCCAACCTACTCTAAAACCAAACCAAAAAAATAACACACTGTCTTTGCGTGACACATTATTTTTTCTCCCCCCTTTTGGATCGTTTTTTGAATGGTTTTCCAATAACCTGGAGCAGAAGATCAAGGAATTAGAGTGGTCTGCTCAGGGCAGACAAAATAGCAACTGGGAACTTTTTCCTTTCTGATTTATTTCAGCGGCAGCAGGATATATTTGGAGCAAACTCTAGTAACCTCTTGAGATTGAATTACATGCAGGCTTAATATTTCTGTTCTTCCATGCAACTGGTGTTTGCTTTCTAGAGGGTATGCAATATGCTGCCTCTCAATGGGTGGGTGACACCCTCCCTTTCCTGCCTCACTCCCTAATGGCCTCCAGTTTACCTGTCCTTTCCCCTGCCCTCATCTGCCTCTAGCCCATCACTGACCACTCCTGGCAGTGCCCTAGGCTGCTGAGCACTGGTGCCCTGGTGGTTTTCAGGGCTGATTCCTAGGTCAGCCCTATGGCCTATAGTTTAAAAGGATATACATGTTCACTGCCACTCAGAAAAAGGGAACTGTTTCTCAGGCTTTTGAGTCATGAGACTAACATCAAAAGCCATTGTGATTCAGAAGGATACCAAAAGTTTGGGGTGTGGAAGGTGGGATGGGCATCTTCTGAGAAAGGGAATTCCCTGGGTGGAGAAGTTGGCCTGGACACTTCAGATTGACTTGGCCTCCAAAGGACAGAGTCCCCAGGATCTTCCACACTTGAATGTCCTTGCAAGAGTGACTCTGGGCAGGCAAACTCCAAACGGATGGACTGTTGAGCTCCCAGGATCCCCCAGGATGGCAGCCGTGCTCCAGAGTATTTCCTGTGTCTGGAATTCCTCTAGGGAAGTTTCAAGAAGAAGAGAAAAACTTGAATTGTGTTGAATTACTGTATCTTTTACATTTTTTTTTTTTTTTTGGAAAGATAAACCTGTAAATAGAGTGATTTGAAATACTGTATGGCAAAGTTTTATATTTGATATTCTTGAAGCTTGTTGCTCCACGCATTTAAGCTTTGATTGCTGAATGAGTGTGAATAAGGGAGAGAGGAGCGAGGTTGAAGGGAGTCAAGGTCATCACTCTGGCCTTGAGAAAGGAAAGGGAATTTCTGCACACGCTCTACTGGCTCTTGTTAGTGGGCATAACACATCGGCGGTGTTCAGTCTTCTTTATCCAGATGTGATTTTGAGCATTTCTTATGTGTTGGGTTTGGAGATGGAAAGAGCATCTTCGGGCAAAAAATCTTTCCAAGAACTCCTACTCAGCTCAGGATTTAACTAGGTGGGGCCAGGGCTGGGATTTTTTTTCCCCATTGTTCTTCTCAGGTGTATTTCTTGGTACCCCAAGATATCAGGACAGAAGGATATAGGATAATTGCGTACAACTCCTTCTGCACATCTTCTAAGACTTCGTGAATGAAGCCAAGCTAGTTAGCAAATGTTGTGTGCCTGAGTTCTGAGAAAAACTGGCTTCCTAGGATCTTTAGTTCTCAATATGCTGCCCTTGCCGTTCATCTCAGATTTCCTATAACCCCAGGTGAGGGAAAAACTCCAAAGAGGATTGGAGATTGTGTGGTTAGAGCTTTATAGATGGTTTTCAAGTCGATAGTTTGTCGTGTGACTCAGTTTGTGAGCTCAAGGGTTACACAGTTATTATCAAGGAGCTCACCCAGCAGCAGTCGCGACAAGACCATGGAATCAGGGAGCAAGGATTAAGACTGGACAAGACCCAGATAGGACTCAGGAAAGCGATCACTGAAAACCCAAGGAGATAAGGGAACACTGGCGACCTGCTCCAAGGGGCCTAAGGCGACAAGCGCACTGGACCACTGTGTTTTCCAAATAGGAGGAGTGCAACAGAATGCTTTTAACATATTTGACACTGGCCCCAGTGGAACCTTAACTAGAGCTAACGCGGAGGAGCAAAGGGTGCAGGCCCTGGCCTGGGGCGTTCCCCTCCGAAACAGACCTGCGGGCACTTGGCCCCAGCTTGACCACTTGGAAGCATGTCTCTCCCTCCTCGGTTGGTCCTGATTTGAAGCCAGAAGGAAATGGAGCTGCTGCCAACAGGAATTTTTAGGTAGATCCCTTCCGCACTGGGCCTGTGACAGATGGCTGCTCCGTCTCCTTTCCCCAGCCAGGCTTACCTGCTCCCTGTTTGCTACAGAACTGGAGAGACTGCTCATGAGACGAGCCAATAGGAAGGACTTGGGAGACTAAAAATAGATGCTACCGTCTCCACCATCTCTGCCCCCCATCCCTTACTGGCTCTGCTTGACCAGGGCTCTTTAGGACGGGTTAGAGGAGTGAACTAGGTATTTGAATGGATGCCTGTTGACCAAGATCCCTGAGTTTTCCCAGAGGGCCTTGTTTCTTTGTGAGGCCCTGGGATCTGTTTGGCATACAGAGCCTGGATTTTTTTGGGCATTAAGGTCAGTCTCCCACTCCTTCATGTTCTCACAGAAGTCTCTGTCTACAGAATGCCATGTCATAAGACAACTAGTTTCAAACCCCTGCCCTCAGGCAAGTAAACTGGTTCACTCAAGACTGGTGATCTTCTCTTTTCAAAAATAAGCATCTAGGGTGGACCCTGTTTGGCACCGTCTCCCTTGGTAATCTATAATTGGAGCCAGTTTTTAGCTTAATGTTTTACTATTTCCACAGCCAATATGTGTTGTCTTCTGTCAGACCAAACTGTCTTTTTTAGCTTCATTCCAGTTCATCCCCCTCTTGCTGAGGGTTTTTGTTTTTTTAAACAGAGGCAAAGAGAAAGAGATAAAATGAGCAATCAAATATTGGCAGGCTAGCGGTGGCAGGGCAGTCATGCTTGTAGTGACAAGGTCTTTCAGGCGTTTGTCAGGACTCCACAGTGTGTGTGCCATAAGGAAGTTCTACCAGCTGCATGTGTCTTTTGCTAGCTCAAAAGGAAGTTCTACCAGCTGCATGTGTCTCCTGAAAACAGCAACCCCAGTCTCACCAAAAGCTGTATCTTGACTCCAGTGACTCCCGAAACACCCGTGATTGAGCGATAGGGAGACAGAAATAATCAGCTGACGATAACTTGATCACCTATTTGTGACAGTCTATTGGCACCTTTCATGCCCTGGCTGCTGTTTCCAGAAACAAGTCTGGACCATCCATCTCTGTAGACACAGGACTGCCAGGTACAGCAGCGGCCACCATGGCACCTGCAGTTTCCTTAGCATCGGATCTCTGATGAGCAGCCATGTCCCCCAAGTGCGCAGCCAGCGCTGAGGAAGCCAAACAGCCTCTTAGCTGCCTGGCTTGGAAAGGAGTGTCCTAGGTGTTATGTCTCAGGAGTTATCTGTCATCTCTGGCAAACCTGACAGTAATCAATTACCTAGACAACCCTGCCCCACATCTCTCTTAAGTCAGCTGGGTGTCCTCTCACACACCCTGGGCTGGTGTTTAAAAAATTTATCTTGTGCTCAGGTGTGTTTGGCAGCCATGCTGACTGCCGGGCGCTGAACCACTGCTCTGTAATTGTAGCATCGGAACGACAGCAGCAGCAGAGCTGTGCACCTTGCACAACTCCGCAGCGTGCCTGTGACAGGGCTCCAGCAAGTCACAACCAGCCTCTTCCCCTGCAGCTCCCGGAGCCGGGGGAGACCCTGTAGGGAATCCAGGCGGCCTCCTGGGGCAGCGCACTGCGTCCTTGGGAGAGAGCGTGCGGTGTACAGCAGGGCTGGGAGCAGAGGGAGAGAAAGGCGAACAGGACTGAGCAACGGGGGATTCTCTGTAACAGGGACAGCTGTAGTTCTTAATAGGAGAAGGGAACACCTGTCACAAGAAAGTTCACAACTGATTTTTTTTGCAAGAGTTTTACGGGACATGACAAGATGGGAACATCTTTCGAGGCGGAAGGCTTTAGAGAGCAGAGGCTTGGCATAGTCCTAGACCCACGGAAGGGTAGCAATTACTGTCATGTCAAAATTCTCTTGAGTGTAGTGAGAACCAGAATATTGATCATCAAAATGTCAGAACCGCCTGGAGCCGTCCCGGAGAGATGAAGACATTCCAGCCCAATCTACAGGGACATTTCTACAAAGTGGCGCGGACACCTGTGAGCAGCCTTCTTGGGTATCCAGCTGCCAGGGTCAGCCTTGTACCTGTGAAAGAAGTTCCTCTGGTGATTCCAATGTATATATGTGCTAGTATGTGTTTGTGTGTGTGCATGTACAGTGCGCATTTACATAGGTAAAGATACAGACTCATGGAAACCCACATAAGCTGGCAGTCGCTGAGCCTTTACAGCCTCTAAGATTTGAAAGTTGAGAATTAGAGCAACAGGAGAGGCTGTGGATCGACTATCAGAGTGATCAGAGATGTAAATGAAGTGCCATTTTAAAACTTTGTTCATATTTATCAAATGGTTACTATCTACAGCTGTATTCCATGTTAACTTATTAAAAGTCATGTTGAAAAAAGATCGAACTCACCCACTTTTAGTCGCTAGTGTTCAGAAGCACCCTAAAAGACAGCTTGTCCGTATTTTGGAGAAGAAAATATCTGCATGTTTCATTCATAATTTAGGCTGCCTTTGAGTATATTATAAAGTGCTGTGTGATATGATATCAATAAAGTACTTAAAAATGGCACTTTAATGTCTTTATAAATCATAAATAATGCACTGTTTTAAACTTCAGTATTGAATATTGACTGGTATGTAGAATCCAATTCTGTAAATTAAAAAGTAATTTGTGACTAGAATAGAACTTTTTTCCTGTTATTAGCCAAACAGTTTTGCCATGTTCAAGCTTTAAAAACAAAAACAAAAACATGCTTTTGCGTCACTGAGCATATCTATAAAGAAGTACAATTTCTGTCGAGTGGCCTCTGAAGCGTGGCCTCCTTACATTTGGTGGGTTTACGTGACAATCCCTATAAATCGAGTGGAAGTATGATTTTTTTAATTAAATGACTTTTCCATTTGATGGTCTGTCTGTCTCTTGCATTTCTGATAAACTTTCAACATGTATATTTTAATATGTCTTCAAATCAGCGAAGACCATGACCAGAAGTCACCTGTCTGAGCTCCTGTGGTTGCTGGTGACAACCGCAGTGCCGATGTCTGATGTGCTCTGGGGGCGCTCTGGTTTCCTTCAGGAAGAGGCCAGTGCTAGTGCCCTTGAGGAGGGGCCACCAGGCATGTTAAACGATTCAACCCCAAGGAATCATATTCCATTGAACATTTCTGACTTTCTCTCCTAGAATGCATATTGTTTTTTTCCTTCCTAAATTTGATTTTCTAATCAACCATCTTCTGGAAGTTCATTGCCGTGGTGTGGCATCATCAAGAAGCCAGAACACACCAGTCCCACCAAAGCTGGGCATGACCCACAGGTTTGCAAATCAGTTATTTGTAACATAAGTCCCGGGTGAACTCATATTATTCGGTCTTTTTATTCATTATGTCCCTTCCAGGTACATTCTGAGTTGGAGCCTGGAGCCCAGATTTACGGTGAGCTCCTGGCTCCTGCAGGGAGAGCAGGGGACTGAGAAGGAGGAGACAGGGGGAGCCAGGGCGCTGAGCAGGGGTGAAGCTTCTGGTTCCAGAAGCTTGTCCCCTGGTGCCTAGTTCTGAGAGGGTTGCTATTTGAATGTGTGGATGATACATGAACTGTTAATACTGTTCTCGTTTCTCACTTAATGAGGCACTGGTTTACCCTATGCACCTGCCTGCTGCCTTCACCAAGTGTACAGCTGCCCTGGAAAATTCTCCAGCATCTGGAGCCTCATACATATGTGAGGCCACAAGGTATCGCTCCGTGGCCCATCGTGCGGAGAATGAAATATACGGTATGTAAGTGTGTGCTTTTTATGTCTTGGCCTTTCCAACAGACTTGCCAGTCACTTCCACCTTCATATCTTTTTAACAGAAAAGGTTTTCTTTTTTTTTTTTTCCGTTCTCATTTTGCTTTTAGCAGCCACTCAAGCAGA